CTCGCTAACTTGACGTCAAGTTAGCGAAACACATGATTTTTTTTTCAAAGTTGATTTTTTGTGAAAAAAAGAAGCAACAAATTTTTGGTTTTCACAAATAATTAGCGGCAAAAAAACGGCAAATTTCCATTCATTCAATTTTTCACTACCGACATTTTTAGTGATAATGTCTCGCTAACTTGACGTCAAGTTAGCGAAACAAATGATTTATTTTTTTCAAACTTGATTATTTATGCAAAAAAAAGAACCGGCAAATTTTTGGTTTACACAACTAGTTAGCGGCAAAAAAACGGCAAATTTTCATCTACCTAATTTTTTACTGCTGACATATTTAGTGATGTTGTCTCGCTATCTTGACGTCAAGTTAGCAAAACACGTAATTAAGAAAAAACCAAAAGAGCGGCAAATTTTTTAATTCCACATTTAATTAGCGGCAAAAAAGCGGCAAATTCTTGGCATAACGGAAAATCGATTTTCCGAAGTTGTCTCGCTAAGTTGATAGACATAGGATTCAAGGTCATTTTGGCGATATGTGAATAACAAAAAGAGTGTTGCTGGTATACCTAACACAATGCATCTAAATAATTTGCAATTTGTTGATGGTAAATCAATATCGAACGCGTTTGCCGCCTATTTCAGTTCAGTCTATGCCAACGATCCTGAACACTCTGAAATTCATGATGTACTGGCTGGTTTTTGATGGATTTTGTTATGAGGATGTTTGTGATGCTGTCAGGAGCCTTAAAGTTAACAAAGCAGTTTGTTCGGATAATGGGCTGTAATGTTTAGTTTTTAGTGTATTTAGAGTTTTTAGTATTTAGTGAACTAACCTTCTGGTTGTCGTATCAGTTTACCGATAGTGTGAACAAGGTGTGAAAAATGGCAGGCAGAAGGTTGGGGGTTGGCTATGAGCATGAACAAAGGGAGGGTGGTTTTTTGTTGATTTAGATACGGTAGTCTAGTAAATGGTTTTTCCAAGTTTGCATGTGTATTTTCCTTTCCTAAATACATAACATGGGCCATCATTTATTTTTAGGGGGACTACTTAGGATTTTGTTTAACCTTTCATTGAGGACAAACACTTTTCCTCAAGCATGGAAAGAGGCAAGGGTTTGTCCTGTATTTAAAAAAGGTGATAGCAGGGATGTGAAAAATTATAGGCCTATATCACTATTGTCGTGCCTGGCCAAGGTATCTGAATCCATCTTATATAAGTTAATATACAGGGTGTCGCACGACGTTTTTCCCAGGTGAAAACTTCGGAACGCGTCATCCAATATAATTGAAATTTCGAGGATCTGGGTAACTTTTTGTGCCGCTTCTACCATTGTCATCCAATTTCACCACTATCGCTTCAATTTCGGTCGTGACGTTAACTTAAACTTATATGTAACTCATGGTATATTATGGCATTTTTGGTTAGAAAATTAAATTACAAAATTGGCAATGCTATATCTGTTAAGGCTTTGTATAATTTTGTGATAAACAAGATATTACCCAAACATGGTTTCCTAAATAAGCAATCTATGGCTAGTAATTTGTGTGAGATGACTCAGTATATTGGTGAGAGCCTTGATGGAAGCTGACAGGTCGACGTAATATACACAGATTTTGCTAAGGCTTTTGACAGAATATTGCATAGCATCCTTATACAGAAGCTTTGCAATGAGTTTGGTTTTCATCATAATCTGGTGGATTTTTCTGAGTCATATTTACATAATAGACCACAACGGGTTGTTGTCAGGGGTTACTAGGTACTTCGATTATTTTTGTGCAACTTCAGTTAATCCGCAGGGCTCCAACCTCGGACCATTGCTCTTTCTGATGAATATAAATAATTTGGTTAATGAAATTAGTGGTACAGAAGTATTATTGTTTGCAGATGACCTAAAACTATATTCAAGAGTTAACAACTACAATAACTGTGAGTATATCCAGAAAAATTTGGACCAAATATGGTCAATTAAAAATAAAATACAATGTAATATTGTAAAATGTTTTGTGTTTAGTTTTAGTACAAGAAAAACGCATTTTAACTATGAGTATACAATGAACAAAAGGGCACTGGATAGGGTTGCAAAAATGCAGGATCTTGGGATAATATTTGACATTCAGCTTACATTCAGAAGTCATATAAATGACAGTAGGGCATCTAAAATGTATGGATTTATTGTCAGAAATTGCAAAGAGCTCAATATATTATGTGTTAAAATTCTGTATTTTTCATATGTGAGGAGTATATTAGAATATTGTTCTATAATATGAAGCCCGTGTTATGAGAACCATAACTATAGTATTGAAAAAATTCAAAATAAATTTTTGAGATAATATTTACACTATAAGGAAACGGCTATGCATATACCAAAATTAGAGATCATGAAAGCCCATAATATACAAACGTTTGCGCTTGAAGGCAGGAGGTAGGTTTCTACAATTATATTTTTGTATAAAATATTGAATAAATGCTCCTTATTTGTTAAACCAAATTAAATTTTATGCTCCGACATATAGAACACGAAATCCTTTGAGCTTATATATTGATAATACTTGAACTATTAATTACTACAACTCACCTGTTATTGTAATGTCTAAATTATACAACCAAATGCGCTTGCACTTTGATATGTGGAATTTAAGTTCTGTAAGTAGGGTGAAATTAATACTTAATGATATATTGGAATAAATGTAGATTTTACCCAACTTCAACAGACCAGTTTTTGAGAAAATCGCGATTAAAAATGTCAAAAAATAAAATACCAAAAGTGAGGCAAAAGTCCTCATTCTCAAGACCCTCTTTAATTTTTAAGCCATTGGTTTTGGGATCAAACAATTCTACATCCCATCATCAGGCTCACAAGAGAATTCGAACAATGAAAATCGAAGAAAAGTTTCATATAGTTTTCCATATACATATATGCATGAAAATTTTCAATTTTTATTGTAATTTTTGAATCCTTTTGTGCTTACAGGAGGATGTTGCCTGATGATGGGATGTACAATTGTTTGACCCCGAAACTAGCTGCCTAAAAATTAAAGAGGATTATGAAAACCGGGTTGCATTGAGCATCAAATTACGCAACTTTGCCCCAATTTAACCGATCTCGTATGCAAAAGTCCTCATTCTCAAGACCCTCTTTAATTTTTAAGCCATTGGTTTTGGGATCAAACAATTCTACATCCCATCATCAGGCTCACAAGAGAATTCGAACAATGAAAATCGAAGAAAAGTTTCATATAGTTTTCCATATACATATATGCATGAAAATTTTCAATTTTTATTGTAATTTTTGAATCCTTTTGTGCTTACAGGAGGATGTTGCCTGATGATGGGATGTACAATTGTTTGACCCCGAAACTAGCTGCCTAAAAATTAAAGAGGATTATGAAAACCGGGTTGCATTGAGCATCAAATTACGCAACTTTGCCCCAATTTAACCGATCTCGTATCCCTTACCGTTTCCGAGATTTGATTTTGACCTCGAAAAACGGACACCCTCTATATATGATTCAATTCCTCACCAATGGCAGCTCTACCCTATACCAGCAGTTAAAAACAAGACAATAGAAAGCTGCGAAGAGCCTACCAGAATTTGAAAAAAAACATTCCCCGTCTGGATAATTTGGCCTAAATGAAATTCCAGACATGGAATTACAGAGAATGCTGCTCATATCCACACCAAGGATCAGAGCTGTGTCAATAGAAGAAGGAAAAGTACCAGCAGGAAAAATTCAAGACTGAAAGAATTTCTAGAGGTAATGTGGAAGGTTGGTACCAAAAGCAATCGAGAGATTTTGAAAGGGGAAACTGAATGCTACTGCTGCGGAAAAAGAGACATGTTCAACGTGACTGTAAAGAACGCCTTTGATCGCTCTCACGCGACAAAGGGATTTTAAAGTGTAAATCTGAAGAACATGCAGGACAGAAAGTAAGTACATAAGTAAATTATCTAGCGAGTTGCGATATTCTGAGAGACTTCTGGACAACACCTTTCAGGTTCAACAGTTCGTTTGGGAGAAGGATATCTTTGAAGGTAAAAATGGCGCAACTGGTAAGGCCAACATCAAACCATAAAATAAAAAATGACAGTGCTCATCCAATCTGTCAGCCATCTTGAATACTCCCATGAATAAAAAACCAGCAGTGAGTCACTAGAAGACATTCTGCTTCCAGAGGGAGTTGTTGAAGAGTCAAAGAAAGACGGATCTACCAGATTTTGTGTCGCTTACAGAAAGCAAAACGGTGTCACTAAGAAAGACCCATTACCCAAAGTTGCTTACACTGTTTCTAAATACACCGAAATTTGATAAAAATAGGCTGTGAGCGGTTTTGCAGAAACTCCAATTTTATGTGCAAAAAAGCAGAAGTTTGTTTATTGATCATTTTAAAAAAAAAGGAACAAAAAAAACATCAAAAAAAAAATAAATTGATAACTTTTATTATAACAAATAAAAAAAAGTGCCATTTATCAATAAACAAACTTAACATAAACAATTGCCTAATATAACTACTATTAACACCAAACATATATTGTAAACATTAGAGCAGGGACAATAGACCTATCTATTTTACCAGACAAAGAGGTAATAATACGAAAACTGTATTAGAAAGAAAAAGACGCAGAACGCTTATTGCGCAAGACGAGGCAAAACGTACCATATTATGTTAGACTTACGTATAACAATCCGTTCTTATTATTTGCACGGGATAAAAAAGGAAGGAGGAAAACCGCGTGATGTGCAACGTATTTGTCAATCAAAAACACAAACAATTGAAAATCGATCACTTGTCAAGCTACGTCAAGTTGAATATCAAGCATAATTTTATCCTTGTCAAACCACGGACAATGAAGAAGGTCAAGGAGATACCCAGCGAGCAAAAGGATTACTTCACACCTGTACTAGTTAGCCAATAAAAATGCATTGCCTCGTGTTGCACGCGCATACAGGTAAAAATAGATAGGTCTATTATTATTACCAATAAATTAAAAGCATTAACCTACCGATAAGTATCTTCTGTAGCAGACATCGCTTGCTCAACATTATCCACAATGCCACTATCCTCTGCGAATTGCTTTTCCACACTTCTGGCTAGCAACTCTTCGGGTCGGTCCGGAAGTTCCGTTACATGAGATTGAGCGAGATCAGAAGGCATCAAAGGTTTTACTTTAACCAAGAAAAACTTTGTCCCTATTGGAACATTGAATCTATTGTTGCTCTGAGAAAAATGTGAAATTAAAAAACTATATAATCCTTCACTAAATAAATACCTTTTGAGTTTGACACAATTCCTTAGCTAAAACTTCCCCAGTACAATGTAATTTATTAGGTTTACCATCCGACAAGCTCAACCCTAATTTATCTAAACACTCTGAGTGCAAAAAATATGCATGCTTTGATTCTTGTAAAATCTTAAAATTCTTATGGTATTGGTCCCAAATAACTAGCACAATATCACCTATTTTGCAACTGTCAATATTCAAATTGGGTAGTCTTGCTGATACTGTATCACTTTTGGTCATTTCAAGGCTTTCACTGGGACTTGTCAAGTCAGGTTTGCTTAAAAACTCCACACTTTCCTGGCGTTCCCGAAGTTGCACCAACTGCTCCTGTAGATTCTTGTTTTCCTGTTTCAGGGCCTCAATTTGTTCATATAATTCGGATTCCATTTTGTCTTGTTGGTACTCGGCCAATTGTTGTATGGTAGTTTTGTGCTTTATTATTTCTAAATTTAGATTTTTTTCCCGCTCTCTAAGTATGTCAATTTGTTTGTCCTTATCTTCAGACACTCGCTTGGCAATATCTTGACCGTAAATTTCTTTATCTTCTTGATACTTTTGTTGTAGTTCGTTTGTTTTTTCTTCTAAAATTGTTTCCCAACGTTGTCTTTCTTCTGCAACGGCTTTTTCTTTGTCTAATTCGAAATTTTCCGTCATTTGTACCAGTAAAGTTGTGTGACCTGGTAAGCTAGAAAAATCCCCTGATTTTTCACGTTCTAATGAAGTCAAGGAAGGACTACGTTCCATTGTCATTAACCTAAAACTAAGATGATTTTTAAGTACAACACTTGAATTTACAAAAAATATATATTACCGGGATTTAATGTTATCTAACTCAGCTCGATGTTCCATCCTCAAGTTTTCTGTCAACTCCTTGAGACATTTTTCTTTATCTTCATAATTTTCTTGTAGTTGCCTCAAAAGTTCATCTACTTTATTAGCGCTTTCACTTAATCGCTCTTCTAATACATCTTTTTGCTTAAAGGTGTTCAATAATCGGTCTTCCACTGCTCTTTTATCTTCTTCCAGTCTCCTAATAAAATCTTCTTTCTCCAATAAATTGTAACGATACTGTTCCTTGTCATCATTATTTTGCCTCTGCATACTTTCCACTATTTCCTTCTCATTCCTATTTGTTTCTAATATTAAAGAGTTCCACGAACTACCAAAATCCTCGTAATGTTTGCAGAGTAACTGGGAGTCGTGGACAAATTGAGATTTAAATTCATTTAATTCGGTGCGCAAGTTTTTCGTTACTTGTTTAGCGATAATGCTCAAACTTAGGAACGAGTTTTTTAGTTTTTCATGTTCTGAACGTGATATTTGAAGATTATCCTGCAAAAAAATGTTAAGATAGTATACAAGCGTGACGTATGGCTAGTTCTTCAAACCGAAGCTTATTGAAAAGAAAAAAAGAATGTATTGCACCAAAGTTAAATGAGAAGGGACCAATATAATATGTATACAGGCATATGCCAATGATATATACCCAGTTGATTCTAGTACGCCCCTCAAATATTCACCAGAGTTTCCTCTGTGTTGGTGATGTTGATGATTTTGTCCTCTATCGATTGTAAATTTACAGGTCCATGATTAAGGTGGCTGTAGTTCATTTGAACGACTTCATAGAGAAAAGTTGCTGCTAGTTAAATCTGTGTGATTTAGTCGACGACAGAATGTAACCTTGACTAAAAATTATCCATGAGCCGTTAAAAAGTGTTGGAATTGTCCAGCATGAAATCAAATTTTCTTAAAAATTGATTCTCAGATTCTACACAAGAATATAGTGAAGCTGGTGAAACACCAACGCCACCAAGAAGGCAGAGCAAAATTGAAGCAGCTCCAGGTTATCTGAAGAAGCGCTATTTCGCACCAATTGCAAATTTATCAATAAAAAAAAGTTCCACAATCACATTAACTCCTGCCCAAATATTCGCTTTTTGAAGATATTGAAGACTTACTGGCATACTTGAATGTTAATTTTGCTGGAACCAACATCTGGCGAATGAAGAATCATGATGGAGAAGAAAGAAGATTTGCCCATGAAAATTAACATTTTGAAACATTTTCCCTTCTCATCTGTTTCCTCCCCCATAATCTCACAAAACTCCATACACAAAAATTGATCCTCTGAGAATTACACGTCCAATTGCAAACATCCAGGAAAAACCAATTGGCATCAGGGACTGTTTTCTTCATTTAACTTATCACTGGCGCATTCTGGGCACATCGCTTTTTCTCCTTTGCATTGAGCTTAGGTGTGAAGCAATAGCCTTGTCTGTGATTACAAAAGTTTGTAACATGAGCTGAGATATGAGCCTGAAGGGCAAGGAAGGAGAATTGTTACAGGAAACTGAAAATAAAAGAAAATTACACCATGTAATACTAATAATTGACTATGTAATCAGAACATTTGAGGATCGCGGTTCTACGCTATCAGGTACCTATTTTTCTAAGTTGTCAATGTTTCAATGGAAACCAAATAAAAGTCCGTGCAATAGCCAGTAAGGTAAAACAAGAGCAAAAAATAGTAGCAACTGAAAAATGTTATAGATATAAGGACACTCAAAACCTATTTCTATTGTGGCACATTTGAACTACTTGCTCAAAATCCATGAGTAGCTTTAAAAGCATTTGTAATACTTACTATCTCTTAAAACTTACTGCTGCTCAATCAAGGATTATTCAGGCTTGTAGTTCAAATTAACCATCAAATTCCCTTGAGTTAATGTTTCCAATCAGGTCCATATCTCAGCATTTAAATTTAAGTACCATTATAAAATAAAATCAAGAAACAAGCACCAATCAGAGCCTGGGAAAACATTATTTTTCTGAGCAGCATAATGCGCTCTGACTAATTTAAAATGGCAACCTCTAGAGCAAAAAAACAAAAACAAATGAATAAACAAAGGAAGTAAAAAGCTGCAAAAAAAAAACGAAAGAAGAAAACTATGAGAAATAATCCAGCAGAATCCAGATACCTGAAGCATAGCAACCACGATATTAGCAGTATCCAGTTGCCTAACAAACTCCGATCCCTGGCTGTTTCCAGTACCAACACTAGATGGTAGGCTTTCGTCAATATAGTACTCATCAGTGGCAAATAAGTCAGGTTGGTTGGAACAGGTTTGTTGGGGCGAATAATCGTCACCATCTCTAGGACTTTGGGGCGAAACGGATTTCGAGCGACTGAGCATCAGATTGGAAGTTTTATTATTATAATGAGATGTAATATTTGAAGACAAACTGGTTATATCAGATAAATGCAAAGAACTATTACTGATGCTTGTTTGGTCCTTTAAGTTGCTCTGATTACAATGGGAATTGAAGCAGCTATCGGTAGTGCTGCTGAAGTTTTTAATGCTTGAGAGCTCGTCAATGGAATCAAGAGATATATTTTTAATATTTGTGAAACTTTCGTTGGTACTGATGCTCAACGTTCTCTGCATCGGGTCTGATTCAAAGGATTGGGTCGCGCGAAAGGAACGAGGAGGTTTTTTAGGGGGTAAAACTTGATTTCTTATCTGGAAAGCAAAGATCTTATCACCGAAACCCAATAATGAGTTTGCAATTAAGGAAAACGCTTTAAAATTGAAGTTCAAATCTTACCTCCGTACTAGTAGATGCATCTTGTTTTTCAGCAATTTTAGGAAAAATTAGTTCCAGTGGGCTTTGGCCAACTTTTTCAAACTCTTCAGTGTCGGTTTCGGACTCACAGCCTCTATTTATTTAAAGATTTTACTTTATTTTAACTCGGATTTAAAATAGCAAACTTACCTATCATCTTTGCAATGTTGTAGCCCAGGAGCTGATACTAAACAGGGTTCACTACCACCAGTGGCCTTTAATAAATTTTTGTCTAGGTAACTAGCTAATCCAACATCGGATACAGCTTGTATTAGTTTATCTTCAACACCTTTTGCATCATCAACCTAAATAAAAATGTTTTCTAGTTTGTAGAGAGTTTGTTAAAAGTGAAGCTTTTTTTCTAGATACAAAGTCTTAATACATTGTATGAAACAGCAACTAAAAACTAAAAAGCATTCTGATGTTACCTTATCCTCCTTTCCTTTCGTAGCAGAAATTTTCCCCATAAAAAAACTAATTATGTGATTCATATCCGGCACCGTCAAATTTTCAGCAAAATCCGGCACGAGTTTTTTAAGTTTCTCGATATCCTCCTCGCTTATGTTAGGCAATTTTGCATCAAACACAGATGGTGCTTCAATGGCAAACGCAGGTGGGACATCCCCCATGCCCGGAAACAAGGCATTCAGAAAATGCCCATCAAATTGGGAGCCAAACTCTTTCCTACGAGTCAGTTCTTCATTGTGAATGGTCATTTGTTGACAAGCAAGATCAGAGGCCCATAGTAAAAATGTTTGAGAAAATGAGCGTCTCCTTACTACTTCCACAACTGCGTTCATGTAAGTACTTGGAGCTAAGTGAAGTTGTTGAAAGACTTCCAGGTGCTTTCGTAATCTTTGCAAATGCTCGTGGAAGTACACTAATAATGAGTCTAGTTCCCATAGTTTGTCTTCAACGTTTTGAACCCAACTGAAAATCAAAAGATGAATAATTAATATTTATCAATAGTTTTTCAGTCTAGTTTTTGGCTAGAAATTTGGGTTTTTGCTATCATTAGATTTGTGTTGCAAAGTGCCTGGATTTTTACCATGGTTTTAGCTCTAGCAATATCAGCTATTGTGGAGATTTATCCATTTTCATGCAGTTAAGGTTGGGAATAAATTCAAATGATTAACATTATTCTTCAGACTGAAATATTTCCCAGTACACGAAGAAGGTATTGATTAATTGAATCACGCACTATACTATATCTAACATACAAAACGGCTATTGTAAACATTAGTGCCTTGCACCAGACCTTAAAAAAAAATTGGGTTCATTTAACAGTGATAAAACTATGACCATCTGCCTGGAACTATCAAAGGCTTCAGACAGTTCCGCGTATTTCGTGGCCTGCTGTAAGCTTGAGAAGCCAAAGTCAGGTGTGTGGCGCGGCACCTGAGTCAATCGTGTTTATCCGAAAGAAAAAAGCGTGACCCAAAGAAAAATATTGTTATCAATATATTCTCTCATGCTCAAGTGCTATCTCATATGTCGAGGAAGTTAGCAACACATTCGAAGCAGAATCGCTAAAACATGTTCCTACTTGTGCTGCTATGGTCCTGTCTCATCCTGCTTCAAATCTCACCCCGGCAACACGTACTATTTACGAGATACAGCGATTTTTATTTTAGTTGCTAACTTCACTCTTGGCAACACATTGAAAGCAGGATCGCTAAAAAAAGGCTCCTGCTTGTGCTTCTATAGTCCTGCCTCATCCTGATTTAAATCTGACCCCGGCAACACGTACTATTTTTGAGATACAGCGATTTTATTTTGGCTGCTAACTTCACCCTTGGCAACACACTGAAAGCAGGATCGCTCAAACATGTTCCTGCTTGTGTCGCTATAGTCCTGCCTCGTGCTGCTTTAAATCACACCCCGGCAACACGTACTATATTGGAGATACAGGGATTTTTATTATGGTTCGTAACTTCACCGTTGGCTTGGGATCACCAATTGGAATTAAGCTGGATTTATAAACTCTGACGTCCGCGCCCGCGCTCGCGCTCACGCTCAACATAAATGAAGCAAATCAAATAAACCATTGACTCTGAGCACAATGAACTATCCAAGATGCTGTCAAACTTGAATTAAAATGGCCGCCAAGAGGCACACAAACCCTTTTTTTATGTGTCATTCAATGTGTCATGAAATTTTTTTCAAAAAAATGGTGCTCATTGTTCATTTGCGTTTTGATACTCGTTCTTTTTACTCGTATTTTTATTAATGTTAGAATTAGAAAAGATCCCTAGGGCACTCCTGCAGTGATATCCAACCCCTCTGAAGTACTGCACCCCTAGAAGCAGTACTTCATGACAGACACAATCGAAAGCTTTTTTCAGGTCACAAAAAACTACCGCGGCCACTTCTTCGTCATTTATCTTCTAATATAGCTCATCCAGGAGATGAAATATGGCATCATCAGTGTTTTTTGACTGCTGAAACAGAGACAGAGAAAGCAATTTATGTCTATCAAGGAAGCTCACCATCCACCTTAATTAGCCACTCTACAATTTTAGTCTAAGTTGCCAGTAAGGATATTGGCCGGTAATAAGATGGTAAATTCTTATCACCCCCCTATTAAACAAAGGTACTACCCAAGATTGCTTCAAAAATGAGGGAAAACTTCCGGTAAGAAAAGAATTAATAATGGAATCCGCCAACACATCAACAGCGTAACTGAGATATCTTCCCATCCAGAAGATTTTCTATTTTTGATACTCAGTTTCTGAGCAATCGTATGAATTAATATTATCTGCTTTCAAATTGGAAGCACATATTATGTATATTTCTTTTTTTTTTTTTTTTTCGCGTAGGTCGTTACTCTTCTTGTTTATTGGATGCGGATGCCCAACCTCTCATTGTAATAAATCTTCCTTGCCTGTTTCATCGTCTTTCTGTAGATGCTCCTGTATCCATTATTTAAAGTAGGTAGCACAACACTGGACGGTGGAGTTGCAACAAATAAATATTTTCACATTTTAAGGGTAGGTCCTAGGTGTCCAAGTGAAATGTAGGTAGAGCAATCTTGCCCAAATAATAGGAATTCCGTAATTGGGTAGAAACGGCCAAAAATTGAGACGCACACAATAGAAAATGAGTATTTGATTATGATCATTAATGACATAACCTAATGACGTTATGGTTTGTGTTTGTATCAAATGTTTGTGTGCCTCTTGTCGGCCATATTTGTGTCACGTGTTTTGGATAGTCTAATACGCGGGCCAATGAAACTGCAGCAACAAACGACTGTCAAAAAGTTTATAAATCGTTTCCAACGCGAACTCGAACTCGGGCGTGAGCGCGAGCGCGGGCGCGGACGTCAAAGTTTATAAATCCAGCTTTAACCAAAGTTCATTGACAAGTAATGTCTCAATTTAGTTGGGCAATACGGATGTTATATTAAATAAAGCAAACGCATCAGGATGTTAGCAAAAAGCTTAGAGCCAACGACCTAGGTTTTAGGTCAATGATTTTTGCTGACATTCCTGAATCGATTTGAATCGATAAGGCGTCATTTTCGAGTTAGTTGTAAATCTAAATTCGGGCGCTAAAGTTGTGCTACGGGCTACGCTATGTGCTACAGAAAGATGGTAAGTACCGTGATTTAACATTTATAAATTATATCTATATAGTGTTCTCATCTATAAATCAACCCTTTAGTTGTAATCAATAAACTTAATTATTCCCAATGTTTAGGGACTTATTGTTTTAATTCAATAAAACTCCAAAAGACCCCAAACCCCTAGTTGCAACAAAATAGGTTGTGACTCTATGGTGCGGCCTCATTCTGCTTTAATTTTCACCCCAGGAACACCTAATATTTTTGAGACAACACTGGTAGCATTTCAAGAGTCTATTCGTAGGAATAGAGAGAGCTCGAGACACCGTTGCCAAATATATCGTAATGAGAGCTTGTCTCTGTATGTTGGTATTTTAGACGGAAAGAACTAATCTAAAGTAATGATGTGACGAATAGTAGTTTGGCCGAATAACCGAATACCCGATATTCGGCTGAATTTAAACCGAATATTCGGCCGAATACCGAAAGCATGTCAGAGCTATTACAATTTGCACGAGGAAATATAAGGAATCAGTTAATACTATAAGAGCCGAGCATTTGGTATTTCTACATCAAAACCTACCACCTAGTGATTTTCAATATTGATTATTCTACTCCTGATTGTCCTACTATACTAATATTTTTTTATTATATTCTCTGTTAATTTGAATTCTTTAACGCCAGAAGTTTGTTTTTTCATTTTCTTTCATTTTCTGAATTGATATTAATTAGTAATATGTTAAAAAATTAGTTACATGAAATATTCGGTAGTGAAGATCGAATATTCGGCCGAATACCAAATAGCAAAAATAATGCCGAATAGGCCGAATACCGAATAATTATGCGGCTTCGGTCACATCTCTAATCCAAAGTAACCCGTCCCTCTGTAATGAATGTATCTTAGTATTTTAGATGAAAACAGCTAATTCAAGAATTCAATTAAAAGTAACCCGTCCTGGGATAGGTGACCTCTCTGCGCTTCCGTAGGGTTTTTATTTTTATTTTTTTCTCAAAGATTATTAGGAGGACGGGTTTGTTTCAATGCAATCCTTGGAATAGCTCTTTTCGTTTAAAAATCCACCATACAAGGACTAGCATACATTATAAAGACGAGTTAGTTTGGAATAGCTCTTTTCGTCTAAAATACCAGCATACAAAGACTAGCAACTAATATGAGGACGGGTTAGTTTGGGTTAGCTTGGATTAGCTCTTTTCCTTTAAAATACCAACATACTAAGACTAGCATTCATTACAAAAGTATGGGTTAGTTTGAGTTAACTTGGATTAGATCTTTTCGTCAAAAATACCAACATATAGAGACAAGCACTCATTACAATCCATTTGGCAACGGTGTCTCGAGCTCGCCGTATTCTTACGACTAGACTCTTGTAATGCTACCAGTGTGTATCTCAAAAATATTAGGTGTAACTGTGTTTGAGGCAGGACCAAAGCAACGCCTCGGAAAGTTAACGCTTTCAGCTGTAAGAAGAGAGAAGAAAAAATATTTGAATTCTTTATGTAATCAAAATGACTCTAAAAAAACGTCCGCCTTGAGGAATTTTAATATTACTTCAAAAAAAAGGATGGATACAATTCCAGGTGACCTAAGGGACCCTGAAAAAATAAACCTTTTTTTTTCTCAATTTCTTCAAAATGCTACCGATTGTAATGAAAGAATACAACATTATCGAATGTAATACCACAAGAGGCTTCAGGATTACCGGATAATACTTTTACCTGTCCCGAAACGCGTTACGCAGCAACACCACGACTCCGAAGGAGGAGTGGTGTTGCTGGTAACGCGTTGAGTGTCATGTAAAAGTATTAGGTAATCCTGAAACATCGAGTGGTATTCAAAAGGTTAGACAACGAACTGAACTTCAATACTTCATCAATTTTCATAATCATTAATGACAAATTAACAATATTGCCACCAAGCGCGATAATCCCAAAAGGCTTATCACTTATTGAGCCTCTCGTGTCATATGGGAATAATGTACAGTGAGTTGTATAATCAAAATAATTATTTCAGTAATTCTTTAAACTTTTCTTTCGATTTGACAAGTGTTGTTGAGGTTAATCAATACATACATGAAATTAAAACGAACCCAACTGGTGTAGATGAGATTTCGCCGCTGATGTTAAGATGCTGTAGCCCTCACATTGACAAATATATTACTCATATTATCAATTAGGGAATTCAATCCATCTGTCAAAAAGGAAAATTCAATGTGGCATGGCGGCCAAGCAAGTTTGTTTTGAATATGTTTTTTATGCGTATTTTAAATTATTTTGCATACAGTTTTGCTTACAACTTTGATTTTCATTATTTAATAAAATATTTGTTGACTAGGTACCTGAACTA